ATGCTTGCCTACTGCTTGTAACATTTAAATCGTGCCAAACCTTGTTTACAGTATGAATGAATGAAAGAAGTGGAAAATATTAAAAAATGGAAGCGAATAGAGGAGGCCTATATTCGGAAGTGGACAACATAGGCTGCAAGATGACTCCAAGACCATATCTTTTAAATAAAAACTAAAATTCCTCTCATTTTTTAAAAAAATTGCAATATTTTATTAATTAATACAAAACATACATTTCTATTTAGTTTGATCAAATTGCTTATCGTACGACCAATGTACCTATGCCCTAATTTTGCAAATGAATAACCTAAATGTCTTTGAAACTGTCTATACGAGTGACTCACGGCATAGAGAGAGATTATGCCTGTGGTAGATCTATCCAGGAATGCCGCGTATTGACCATAACATTCGAAGAGATGTTATAAGGAAATTCCATAGCGATAAAAAGTCATTCTGAAATAAATATTTGCAATGTAAAGATACATTGTATAATATAAATTAATTCGTAATGTTGTAAGTGAAGTTTAAACAATCGAACGGTAGTTTCACGTTACAATATTTTACACCCAGAGAAAATCCGTATGCAACACTATCGTTTTGTTGACTGCCAGTATTAACCCTTTAACGTCGGGAACCGCATATACGCGCAAAAGTTTTCTTGTCACAGATACGGGAGACGCATATATTCACTTACATCAAAATGTACTTTAGATCGGGAAACGTTCGTAATCGCTTTTAAATTTGCTTATTGTATACTATTTCTAACATGTCATCACTTATTAAATTTCACAGAGCTGCGATGAACTGTGTGGAGTTGGAGTGAAGTCAGTACATTTGGAAAAAATGTTAAGTCATTTGTTGACGATGGTGGTACGTGCAAATTTGCTTTTCAACCACGTTACCTTTATTTAAGTATTTTGAATTAAATTAATATTTTTTTTCTTTAACAAATGGGTTCGAAAAAAAGATATCTGACTGAGAAGAGAAAAAAATTAAGTTAGTCGATGACGATGATGAGATTCAGTGGCGGAAAGACAGTGATGTATATAAACCAAAAACATATTCCTTTGCATCGTTTGCAGTAAAAAAAAGTACGCAAAGAAACAATCTACTGTTTCCAACAGTGTGAGGTTCTTCTTTGTGTGGTACCTTGTTTTGAAAACTACCATAATAAAACAAATGTATTGGGCCTAAACTTCTGCTATTCTAATATAGAATTATATGTTTTAGTTTTTTGAATATTTTCTTTGATTTATATGCATTTTTATAAATAATTAGTAAAAAATTTATCTTCTGTACTTGTTTTTTTCAATTTTACACTTACGAACTTGTTTACCACAAAAGTCGGGAAACGCATAAATGCGCGAAAGTGCTAAACGGGAAGCGCATTGAAGCGCAAGGCACAAAAACTCCCGTATCTGAGGCACGGCACGTTGAAAAGCTGCCGTCGTGAAAGGGTTAAATAAAAAATTTTAGAATTCACAAAGAAGTGATTGAAAATGTCTACTTACCAAAGTTAACTTAAAAACGATATAAATAAATTGTTAATAACCACTCAAACACTTTACAGACAATTTATAAAAATAAATATAACAAGGTAAGTTTATGGTAAGTAAATTTACGGCAGTTACGCTACTGATAAACTGATCGTAGCGAAACTATTTAATCTATTGATAAACCGGCCACTTCGTTCGATACTACATCTCTTCGGGAGCTAATCGTAGGCATTCGTTACTCAAAAACGTGATTTATGTTGTTATCGTATACTGTTTCCCCGGTATTTAGTTCAAATCACAGTTTTATTAAAGCGGACTGTCTGTCTGTCTAGTTACACTGAATAATTTACATAAAATTTATTTAATTAAATTTTGCCGTATGTTCACGTTGTGGTCCTATACTAAGTATTTGTCACTCCGTAAGATTTCCAGATCGAAGTATAGCCAAGTGCGGAGGTGGACAAGAATGGAGGTGTTTAAGGGAGGCATATATCCAGCAGTGGACGTGATAAATGAAAGCTGGATGATGATGATTATTATTATTATTATTAAATGTTAATAAAGGATGATACAGACTTAAAGTAACTTAATCTTATGGATAACGTAACGTAACAAGTGAATATCTTGAGCCATCGATTGTGAATGTGAAAATGTCGGAAATATATAATACTGATATGAGTTTCTATACCTTTCCAATAACTATTTTATTATGTGTTTTCATAATTTATTTTCTCCGATTAGCTAAGTATTTTGAATCATTTATTCATTTATAATTACGGTTTTCTATAAATAGAATTCAATTGTGCATTCATTCAACACGTACTTCTATAAATCATACTTTTTTATTTATAGCTCTCTCTAAAAGGTAAATAGCTTTATTTTCAATAAATTTTCATTTTTCATTACCTAAATTGGTGCGGGCTGTAATAAATATTCTCGTGTTTTTCGAAATTCCGTCGGTTTAAAATATCAAGTAGTCGGAATGTCTCGATGTGTATTTTTAATGCATATGGGTCAACATACCTAGATTCGAACTCACCGTCGGACGTTTTCAACTTAACGATTCATACATTTTTGATGCACTTGCCAATTTTGAATATCCGTGATAGATAGTATTCGAATACCAGATGTTTATTTTGGAATGTAATTTTTCTAACGTGTTAATACATTAGAATACGTTTAGGTCTAATAACTATTAAGTTTCTAAATTAGCCCGTTTAGTTTTAACATAAGACATGTGGTTTCATGAATATTTAAGATTCCAAATTCATTTCATATGAGCATTCTACTTTAGTTTTGGATTCAGACAAAAAACAAATATTTATAATAAAAATGGAGCTGTCAAAATCACATGGTGTGTGCTACAGCCTTTTGTGACCCTTGCTCTATTTCAAAATATACTGCCATACTTCCCTGTCGAGTGCCTGTCTTGTTCATCCCCTCACTCCAATAACTCCAATCTCCTACAATATCGGCCAGTTATCTATCCTTAGGTAATCTCTTTATCTCTTTTTCCATAGACCTTGTTCGTTTCCCCCGCTAGATGTGGTCCTCATAGTAGCACGATTTTTCCACACTTTTGATAGTTCATGTTGTATCTCTTGTATCACTTCGCGTAAATTATATTGTTAATTTTCTATGTATTGTCCGTTCCAAGCGAGATATCTTCTGTGGAATTTTTGATACATGTGAAAAGTTAAACTGCTGCATTACCGCGATATCATCAGCGTACGCAATAAAAAAATCAGACACAAATGTAATCTCAATCTTTTGTTGACATAAATCGAGAGTTTCATTGCGATATAAGTTGTATAGATACAGTGAATTTCTGAAATTAGCAAGTCGGTCGAAAAATGGATCTTATTCGAGAACATTTTCGAGCAATAATTTTTTACAATTTTCGGGGAGGATTATTCCAACAGTAATGCCTCTCTGAGACAACCTTAGCGCATAATTACTAAAGGAAGGCGGAGACTCTATTGAATACAACTGCCACAAGACTAGAATACCGGAGTAATTATCCCACTACATAAAAAGGGAAATCAGCTTCAATGTAAGAACTACCAAGCAATAACGCTACTAACTGTGGCATATAAAATACTGTCAAATATTTTGTATGACCGATTAAGACCATATGCGGAATAAATAGTTGGGGGATATCAATGTGGTTTCTGCAGACAGAAGTCCACAATAGATCAGATTTTAGTCTTGCGGCAAATCTTCGAAAAGACTAGTGAATTTAATATATACACATCATTTTTTCATTGATTTCGAGAGTGCCTATGATAGCATCCATCGAAAATTTCTGATCCATGCACTGAAAGAGTTTAATATTCCAACTCAACTCATTGATATAGTAAAAGAAACACTTAAAGTATAAAGCAAAATTTGAATTCAAAACGCACTAACACATACAATCCATGTGAGAACGGGCTTACGACAGGGAGATGCCCTATCCTGTATTCTATTCAACATCACATAGAGAAAATAACTAGAGACTCAAAAGTCAACACCAGAGGATCAATAACATCATAAAGTGTACAAATATTGGCATTTGTAGATGATGTTGATATCATAGCTAGAAGCGAAAGAAAGATGATAGAAGCATTTAATGCGATAGAAAGAGCGGCACTCTCGCAAAGTAGTAACGTGAAGAATTCTGTCATCAGTAGTAATAGTTTTGCGTTTTCTGCCACCACTTGTCTTTTAATTTATTTCCATCAGTTTGTTGAATACTTTTAAGTATCCTTTTGATGGTAGAGCGATGGACATGAGTAGTTTCGCAACATATTCATAAATACATTTCCTCTGACTGTCTTCCAAGTTGTTTTATGTTTTTTATGTTCAAAATACGCTTTTTTACCAGCACCATTTTTATTAACATGACAATTGCCATAGTATTGATTTAAAAAATTATTATTCAGTTAAACATCACGATAAAATGTATTAATTTTGTCGTCCATCAGGCTGATAAATAAAGGGAGTATGTGTATCACAGTTGATTGTGAAGAACAAAAATCTACTGTATTACATCTCCAACATTATTATTTTTTTAGTGTAGTAAATAGCAAAAAGGATATGACAGATTCTTGCTGTATATATGCAGAAAATATTTCTGGTTGAATCACGCTATTCGTTAATTTTAGAATGGCGGAAGTCCTAGAACAAGCCAGATCCCAGAAAGGGTTGTCAAGCTACTGATGATAACTATTTCCCGCTGGTATTGCGAATTTCAACGTGATCGCTCCAGTCTCAGCGACGAATCCTGGCCAGGTTGATGTGGTTCGTCAGCTAATTAAGGATGAGCGACTTGTAAACTACCGGGAGATAGAGGCGTCTTTGGGCATTTCAAAGACCTCGATCCAAAATAAATTGTCAGAATAAAAGATAACATTGTTATTTTTTCAATTTTTTCTTGATTATCAACGACATAACTGTCGGTCTTTTGCAAACAATTTAATCAGTTAAATATATTTCTATTAATTTGTTTTTTTTTTGTTTCAGCTGTTGTAGTATCCCTTTATGAAGATCCAATTCAACCTCAGCAAGCAGCGTCAGTGGTAGAAAAGCTAGGTGATTACTTAATTACCTGCGGTTACTAGAGGTAAGAAGGAATTTTTAATCAGTGTTTCAAAACAATTTATAATATTTTAATAATTCACTATGTACTACCTTCGATTTGTTGCCAATATATTTCATTATTTATGAAAATCTATTTGAATGGGTTGCAAAATGAATAGGATCAGACAGAACTCTGTGGGGATTCCCCTGTTTACCACAAGCGAAGCAACAGAATCAATAAAGTTTTTTTAGCAGAAAATGGTTGACTTCAATTAGTACCGTATATAAACATCCTGGGTTAACCGATAATGCTATAAAAGGCCTGGTTTCAGGTAACAATGGTTTACCTAAGGTACAAGGTCTTAACAATGGGCCAAGTCAGATAAATTTAATAATATTTACGACGGCACTAATTGAAGTCAACCATTTTCTGCTAAACAAACTTCTTAATGTCATATTACACTTTAGAAGCTAAAGTATAAATTTTCATTACATCTAAAGTTTAAATAAAGCACTTGTAAAATATTATTAAGCAATTAGAATACCAACTTAGGTAGGTGCTGATCCGGCCGGATAGGCCAGATAACTTTCTTCTACACAATCCTTTGCACACATTTTGCCTCCAACAATTTTCGCGAAGGAAATTGAGTGCCGGGCTTTAAAACGATCTAGCCAACCGTTAAGACCATGTGAAATCTTCACCAGTTTTCCGAACTCTGTAGCTTTCCCCTTTAAAAGTTGTTCGGACACAGGAATATCAGAACTGCTAAACTGTTTGAACCATTTGAATAGAGTTGAATCTACATCACCACTAATGCACTTCCTAATATTTTCAACATTTTCTCCCTCCCCAATTCAACATTTTCTCCCTCCCCAATAAAGGCTATTAAAATTTTGTCCTTGTTTTTTAAGGTTGAGCTGACAGTCGAATTAACAATTTATTCAAATTTTCAAACACGCACTTTATCTTTAATAGGTAAAGCCTTCCTTTTAGTACTACAATTTGCCTTATTAAAAAATAAAAAGTTAATTATCTTTGTAATTGTGGTATCATTATCTGTGGAATTTTATAAATGGTTTTAAATTTCTAAGTCAGTGGTGAAATTCACTTCAGACTCATTGTAACCTAATCAGTGCGCATTATCCTATATGAAAAGCCAATAACTCCAGTCAAAAATACAATGTGATCAACTACAACCAAGTTCGTACTGTCCTCTCGTTTTATTTCTGCCCAACCATACTTTTGGTGAAGTTTGAATTGGCACTCTGTGAATCTCTCAACAGTTCTTCTCCATACTCTTTTACGGCCATCTAGATACTGAATGGAGAATACATTCAAACTGTACAAACGCTAACAGTTATACTTGGGACTTCATGGAGTTGGTATCTTGGCTAAACTGATGTTAAATGACAATCTCGCAAAGTAGTAACGTGAATAATTCTGTCATCAGTAGCAATTGTTTTGCGTTTTCTGCCACCACTTGTCTCTTAACATAATATTTCCATCAATTTGTTGAATACTTTTAAGTACCATTTTGATGGTAGGGCAATAGATATTAGTATTATCGCAACATATTCATAAATACATTTCCTCTGACTGTCTTCTAATTTTTTTTATATTTTTTATGTTCAAATTACGGTTTTTAACCAGCACTATTTTTATTAACTTGGCAATTGCCATAGTATTGATTTAAAAAATTATTATTCAGTTAAACATCACGATAAAATGTATTAATTTTGTCGTACAGCAGGCTGATAAATAAAGGGAGTATAATTCGCCAAATATAGCTGAAAGTGTGAAAACGCGTGAAGATCATGATGCGCATTTGTCAAACGACGGACCTCGCACTCGCACCAGATCGTTTGTATGTGAGTTCTCACTTAATTGTTAAAGGTAATGGATTTTGACAAGAGCTATGACCTTATAAATAACAGGTAAACTTGTGTACTGAATCGGTATGACGCCCAGCTCTTGTTAAAATCCATTACCTCTAGCGCAGGCAATGGGAATGTCATACTTTCAGCTATATTTGGTGAACTATATATTATTTGTATCGCAGTTGATTGTGAAGAACAAAAATCTACTGTATTATATCTCCAACATTATTATTTTTTTAGTGTAGTAAATAGTAAAAAGGATCCGACATATTCTTGCTGTATAGATGCAGAAAATATTTCTAGTTGATTCATGCTATTGGTATTATTAAAGTTTTTAGAATCGCATAAATGTTATTTGACGTTGATCATAATTTGATATCTCAGATTTTTTCAGTCAGTCCGTTGTTCTTTAAAAACTTTAAAAATAAAATTATAAAAGAATACGCTAAATTGGAAAACTTATTCCATGAATTTTCTTCATGGGTCACCTGGTTTATATTAGCATCAATATTTTTCAAAATTTACCAAAATGAAAAAGTGTCTCTGGTAAAAAAGATCTGGCAAGGTCACATAACTGTATACAGAAGGGATAATCGGGTTTTCCCTCATTATTGAAATCAATAATGCCGCAAAGCCGAAAACGCATTGCACTTTATTCTTCATAAAATAAAAAACAACAACCTACTGTAAAATTTTATGACGCTATTCTTCTTCTGCTGCCTGTCCGTTCCGAACGTTGGCGATCATTCTGGCTATGATGATTTTGTGGGTTGCTATACGAAATAGCTGTGTTGAGGTCTTTCTATACCATGCTCTCAGGTTAGCAAGCCAGGATATTCTTCTTCGTCCTGGGCTCTTTTTCCTTCAATTTTATCCTGCAAAATGCATTGGAGTAGCTCGTATCTGCCTTGATATCTCATTATATGTCCCAAGTACTCCAGCTTACGGCTCTTCACAATGTTGGCAAAATCCGCGGTTGTGTTCATCCTCCGCAGTACTTCTTCATTGGTGACTTTGACGCTATAGACGAGGCTTACTTTCTTACTTTATTTTTAGCCGATAAAACCGGGTTTAATAATGTCGATAGTTTTTGGCCAGTTCTATTAAAAAATTACGTTACAACTTTGATGACGTAACTACCGAGGCCGTAATATCCAAATTCCACTGTATAAGAAAGTTTACGAAAAAGAAAGTACATGTAGCTATGGTTTCTAGGTGGTCGAAGTAATCAGAACTCTCCTAACGGGATCAGTAGGTGGATTCTTTGGCGGCATTTCGGAAAAACTTTTAAAGGCTAAAAATACTTAGAATATTTGGGGAGCCTAGTGGCCATATAATGTTTTTAACAAATTTTTATTAAACTGATGATGGAATGATTCAATTCCGAAAAGATCATTAAAATAAAAATTTTAAGCTTTTAATAAGCATTTTTATACCTTAATACACACGAACACCACGTGCTTTGTATTCAACAGGTATACTAGCCAATCCTGGATATCTCCACTTCATGGTTTGTTCCAGTTTCACTTTTAACAGCTAGTTTTCTTTACATAGCTCGCATTAGGTTTTTTTTCTTGCAGGATCCTGAAGGCTAATGCAAGAACATAAAAAAGAAGTTTGAAGGTCTCAGCTTCCAAGTCCCCAATAACTGTCAAAAATAGATTGGCATTTGTCATTAGGGATATTTGTATTATAACCGTATCTACAGTTATGGTTAAACTCTTCAATACGCTTTGCTCGATGCACTGTTCCTTTTGGTCAGTATAAAGGTGCCCTTCATTTCTTGCCTGCTTTGCACGTACCCGTGCCCAATTGTGACCTTCTCAGCATTTTCTTACCGGGGTGTTTGTTCTGTTGTTGCCAAATATCGTAAATATTATGAGTGAAGTTTGAATTTAAAGATGCGATAGCCACAGTGTCGACAAGCGTGACAACATTCAACAACAAACAACTCTAATGACAGTCAGTTGGAGGCCAATGGGTACAAGTGGCGCTTGTACCTCTTGGATTCTCAGGAAAACAGCTGATATTTGAGGTAGTACCTATAACATCCGCTAGATTGCAGCACTGTACAGTGATACGCTTGTATCCTTTTGCCACAACAATGTTTGACTCCATAGCAACTATGTACTTAGTGATTTTAACTTCATTTTGTTTAAAATTGCACTTGTACCCCCTGGCTTCTAGTATCCTTATTTGTAAACAACTCGTAATGACATTTTATAATAATATGAAAGCGGTAACTTTCAAGAAGTAACTTTATCGAAGGTAGTTAAAACATATTTAGCGGATTAGCAGGGCATCAAATTATTTCTGTGAAATACGCAAAAAAAAATAAATTATATACAGTAAAATCTCGATATAACGGACTACTTGGGGAGACAGGGTGTCAGTTAAAGCCGAAAGTCCGTTATATAAAAATATCTTTAAAATAAATTATTTTTTTTTAAATATGTATATGCTTGCTGTTTTTTTATGATAAACTTTCTAAAATTACGAAAATGCGTAAAATACAGTCGAACTTCGTTATCTGATGAATAATCAATAAATGTTACAAGATCGTCGATATACGATTTTACTTCTGATAACATCTTTTTTGGCAGTGTTGTTTTGTCGTCTTCTTTGCTATCTTCACTTTCATCCTTATTTTTTAGGTTCATAACTTCATCTGCTATTTCACTTTCAATCATGATGTTATACCCAGGATCACCTTCATCTACTTCTAGCCATTGTAAAACATCTTCCTCAGCTACATGTTCTCCGGCAGTATTATGTATTGTCCTACAGAAATCAGTAACTTCCAGACATTCTAAATCTGTGTCTGCATCTTGGACATCAAACAAATTCTTCCAACCATTTTTTAATGTTTGCTCTTTCACTTCCTCCCATGCTGCAGCAAAATTAAAAATTGTTGATTTTAAATTGTAAGACCTGTAAGTTTTGCAAGGTCCGCTGCTCTCTTGTGTCTTCTGCAATATCTCTATCGTGCAATTACTTCGTCTAAAAATTTCTGCGATATATTCCTTTGGTTTCCAAAAGTATACCCCGATCCATGGGTTGAATAAGTGATGTTGTATTTTTTTTTTTGTCAAAAACGAAGTGAACCATCTTTCACTTCTTGGAGCTATACTATGAAACGGGCGGATGATGCATTATATCTTTTAAAACTCAAGGTTTACGAGATTTGCCAACCATTACAGGAGTCAATCTATGCGATCCATCGGCGTTAGCACAAAACAGTGCCGATACCCTGAATTTGCTGATTTTTCTTCTAGAATTGTATTTTTCATATTTGGAGGCTTGTGTACTTTCAGGTAAAGTACGCCATAACAAACAAGTTTCGTCAGCATTATGTTCCACTAATTTTTGCCTAAAAAGTTCCATTTCTTCTTTTGGTGCACTTGAAGCTTCGCAGTAAATTCTTTTATTAATAATTCCGTGTCTTTTGCGAAAGCACCAGAGCCATCCATCACTTGAATGACATGTCCATATGATTTGCTAATTTAATTTCAGCGGATTTCAATTCGACTGCCCGGACCGGTACCCCACTGAAACATTGTTGGTCGTACCATTTTAAGATTGCTTCTTCCAGTATAGTTTTAGGAGCCAATTTCATTCGTTTTCTGAAATTGCTGTTCTCTCCTTCATCACACATTTTTATTTATTTTGCTCTTGTTTTTTTTTATGTCCAAAACAGTTTGCTTTTTTATGCCATATTGATCACATATATGAGACACAGACGTTCCAGACACAGACTCCAAATTTTGTAGAATCTCTAGTTTTTGATTGATCGATTTCGATTGTTTCGTTTTCGTTTGTCCATATTTAAAGGGTAGGATTGCAAAAATTTTAACTTATTTACTGGCGTACACTAAATGTGTTCATTCACAACGAATAAACTAGAACTGCTGTAGAGTGGTGAGTAACCAGTGTGGTAATCACCCATATAATCATATAAACCTACGCGTTATTATATCGTAATTAAGAGTACGTTTTTAGTTTTTTAGCATTTGACCGGATTTTTCGTCCGTTACATCTGAAGTCCGTTAAATAGAGGTCCATTATATCGAGGTTTTACTGTACTGTTATACAAAATTTAATAAAATAAACGAAATTTAGACAAAATGTAACGTATTGACCTTTCGACAAGTTTCATAATTTCCTAAAAAATACTGACTATAAATACCAGATTGAACTCATTAACCAATTTTTTTTTGTTGCAGATAGTGTGTGCCGCTGTAAGCAGCCATGCCGTGCGGCGAAAAATTAATTATTATTAAATTTGTATTTTTTTCAAAATAACAGCGAACCGGCAATGTGTATACCGAGTGCATCATCATTAAATACATGGAAAAGTCATAAAATCGGAAATTGTATTTTCCTTTTTTTATCAAACAACATAAAATATATATTATATATCGGTCAAATCATTCAATTTTTTCATCGTTGTCCATCGTGGTTTCAGTTATGTTACGACGGTCCTAATATTAAATTTATAACAAAATTTTTGGCTTTTAAACCTTTTATACATACCTCGTAGCATAACTGCAACATTTATTGCCAATCATAATTTTTGACTGTGGTCTCAATTATCATTGTTTTTTAAGAGTATTTAGGATATTTTAAGTTTTTTCGAGTGTTTCGCAAACTTAACTGAGATAAGTTTCCGGAACATCATGTGATTTTTTTAATTATAAAGCATTTTCTTGTTAGCTTTTCTCATACCATTGCTATCTCTAAAAACATTTGATACTGAAGAACTTACAGTTTAGGATTTTTTAATAAAAAAATCTCTAGTCCTGCTGTCTCTATTTTATTTTCGATCCTTTACCTTTCCTGGACTCCTGTGCTTTTTGTAATAGTGCCGATGTGGATCTAAAAACTGACTTCGGAATTTATCAGAAAAAGGGTTAGAGTAAGCACAAAATATTTATACGGTTTAACAGTGTAAAGTGAAATTTTATTGGCTTGTTTAAGTTTTCAAAAAAACGTTTTGCTTTAGGTTATAAAACATTTTTTTACAATGAAAAGACAGTGGAAGTGAACATTTTGTTTATTGCATTTTACTAAGCTTTTTAGATAGAAAGTCTAATGGAAAAGCGCAATTTTCCTACTATTAAGTAAATAGTTGTGATATTTTTATTTTGTAGTAAATTTAAAACTACTATTTTTTTTATAGCTACGACTTAATTTTCAAATACTTATTTTGTTTTATAACCTAAAACAAATCAAGTGTTACGTCTGCTTTCCTTTTTATTTAAGCTATGATTGGTGTGAGCTAGTCCTATTTCCAAATTAGCAGCACTAGTTTACCGGACACTTTAAATAAGACCATTTTGGAATTTTTGTGATAAATTATCATTTAGTTTTTATTAGTATTTTTCGCCAGTATTTAAACGTTTTCAAATATATTTAGGCTATTACACCAATCAAATTTTTTTTTTTTTTTTGGAAAAAAATATGACAGTTTTCAGTAAAGAAAAATGTTCATATTTTTTCCCCAAAAATGCTGTCATATTGTAATGCATAATGCTCAGATGTCTTTTGATATAATGAAAGACAATTACTTTTTACCTCCTAATTTAAAGTAAAATCGAAAAAGTAGCTTTGTAAAATTTCTGATATAATTCGCAAGGGATATTGTGTATCTAAATGATAAAACATAATAAATTTGTATTATAAAGTATTTTGTGGTTTTATTTTTTAAATACCTAAATCATTAATTTTCATACACACTGCGTTATTTATCTATTAGTTTTACTACGTTTAAGAGAATAGAATAAAAAAACGGGTGTGGCAGTCCAGTGGGACTGCCGGTAGAGGTTATACACGCGTTCGCCGTTACAAACTTATATGGGAGTTAATCTGCGCAATCATTACATATATGTAATGCTATAGGTAAGAGAGAGTAGAAAGAGAAAAGAATTAGGTATATGGTGCATCGTTTGCTGTATATAAACATTTAACCTGTAATAGGAGTATAGTAAATGAAGGAATGAATATATATTTTTATTTTCATATATGTATAAAAAAAGTTGAATGCAAAAGTAAAATTTTACGCATACTCTGCAGTAAAATTTATTGTTTACTTTGTTATTAATATAAAAATACAATAAAATACACTGCAATATAATTCAATATAATAATACAATAGAAAATAAAATGCAATATTCATAACTTACTTAGGCATATGTTTAATTTACCATGATAATAATATTAATAAAAAAATAATAATATTAATAAATATTAAATATATTTACAAAAAGGAACATTTTTATTCTCGAGAGAGAGAGGGAAAATATATCTTCTATCTCTCTCTTACCTATACCTTACATATGTAATTATTTTGCTGATTCACTCCCGTACATATTTTCAACGTCGAAGGCGCGTATAGAAGTATAACTTCAACATTTTTTTTTATCATTTTATATTGGTTGCGTTAAAGGTAGGTAGCGAATGCATTCGCTTAAAACTCTGTCTGAAAGAGCAGGATTAAAGATAAACTTTGAGTAAACTAAACTTATAACAAATCTCGTAATGAGTGGAAATATAACTATTGACAATAATACCATACAACAAACAGACACTTACAAATATCTGGGACACGAAATCAAAATAAGCAGAGACAATCAAACACATGAAATACAGCTTGGGCAGCATTTGGCAAATTGAGCAATATTCTAAAAAGTTCAATTCCCATGTGTCTCAAGCGAAAGGTTTATAAACAATGTGTTTTGCCTGTACAAACTTATGGAGCAGAGACTTTAACACTCACGCAAAAATCTGCGAATAAACTCAGAGTTACACAACGAGCCATGGAACGTGCAATGCTGAACGTGAGCCTTCGAGACCACATAACAAACCAACAAATTAGGCAAAGATCAGGAGTTCAAGACGTCATCGAAAGAACCACGACGCTTAAGTGGAACTGCGCAGGGGCACTTAGCCAGAGCACAAGATGGATGGCGGCCCAGTGTAGAGAACACTGGAAAGAACTGAGAGAGGCCTATGTCCAGCAGTGGACTCGATTGGCTGATTGATGATGATGAAAGGTAGGTAAGGTTTCCTCCTGGTTGCTGCTATTGTTATAGCTGGTTGGAAATTTGTCGGAACAGTAATGCCTAAAGGTATAGTGTAAGTAAGAAATAAAGAACTCAGGTTTTGACAGTTATGCAAGTTATATTGCGGTGGCTGGTTGTTCTGGTAATTAAAAATATTTATTTTTTTCGTAGATATACACAGTTAAAGCAGGACATATCGTATGTGCTAAAATTAATTTCGACCATTTTTTATTTATATTTCACCTTACAGGGAACCAGTGGCGCACCTAGAATTTTCCTGTGGGGGAGTTTTGGTTGGACACCGAAATTTTTTTTATGCTACCTCCATTTTGAGTTTTTAAAAAATTTGTGAGTAATAGTGTCGGAATAGTGAGTTTTTCCACGTTCACTCAAACTTTTAGAACATTCCGCGTTTTGCTTGCAAGTAAACTCAAGTGGTTGTCCTGGAAGTTGTAATCACCTGTTCGGGAACCAGTTGAATAGTGTCATTAAAGTACCGTAATTAGCATCTGTAGAAATTGAGGGTAGGATTTTCTTCTAGTACCTGCTCGGGGACGAATTGAGAGCCTACCTAAATTTTACAGTCGTGTTTTTTACTATAAGATTTATGATTATATGTCCAAATTAGCGGTCTATGTGAGTAATTCAATTTTTTTCCGAGTAAAATTTTCTTGCATAGCCGAGCTCTATATACCCCAAAAATATCTACAAATAGGGCTCGCCTTGTCTCTATACTTCAATTCTAGTTGAGGAATTTTCTATAATGTTCCTTCCAATCCATTTTATTAATTGTTGCTATAAAAATATCAACTAAACTGAAGATAAGGTTTACAATGGAATTTTATGACTAGCAGTATACATTCTATTTATCAGACGTCATATCAACGTTATGAGTAATACAAATAATGTAAAAATCATCTTAATTTTATGTTACCAATATTATATATGAAATTTATCAATTTACGGGGTACGAAATGATTGGAAGTTCCAAATATGTATTACTCATATATATTCAACAATTAACATTGGGTAATTAAATTACAAAAATAAAGTCTGCTTATTTATAATTAATTACAACAAGGTCGTGTAATAAACACATTAAATCCAAATATTAAATAAAATTCGTTAGTATAATAAATATGGTTATATGATTGTGTGCGCAAAATTCAGTTCAATTTTTATTTCATTCATTCCTTTTTGATGAACTTCATTTATTAATTTTCTTAATTATATGGTAGACTGGATTAATTTCAAATATTGTGCTTTGTAACACTTCTTCTCTAGCTCAGTCATACTACATAACGTTACAGCGTCTTTTGTGGCATAAGCATTCTTAATAACTCAATGAATCTCAATCTTAATAATTCGATGTATGAGCAAAAAACAAATAAAATAATGATTCAATCGGTTTAAATATGATCGTCAATATCTGTTGATAGTAACTTTCCAGCACTACAACACCGACAACAAAATATTTAAAAAACTTTGACTACTTGAAAATAGTTGGTTTACACACATGTAAAGTCATATTTGTAATATAAGTGACATTAGAAGTGTTACACCTAGAAGGAATAATTTCTTTAACTTAATTTTTTGGGCAACATGGTAGATCTACATAAAAAACGAAACGATAATGTTGTCAAGAAGTTTTATTACCAAGCAATAAAAAAAAAAAAAAAAAAAAAAAAAAAAAAAAAAAAAAAAATGTGTTTGGTGACCCCGTAGCTGAATACACTCCTGTATACGTCTAGGCATTGACACAGAATAATAAACAATCAGAATGTCCACTCTCAGATGCCGCCTTTGAAGTTTTTCAGCACGCGCGCCATGTTTTAGAAGGAAACACAGACATACGATTTGTTAGGTTATGTAATTGTTTATGTTTAATTATATTATATTTATGTTATTATATTTAACAATGTTAATACAGTTGTATAGTATGTCTATGATTGTCGTAAGTCAATTAAACCGGGTTAATTTTTCTATGTACACCGCATAAACAACACTGGTTCCCTCTAAAACATGGCGGAACGTATGCGCGTACTTAATTTTCCATGGAGAGTGGGCATTCTGATTGTTTATTATTCTGTGGCATTGACAACATGAGATGATCGATGTCTGTAGCACCTCGTTCCAAGCAACTTGAACTTCATGTATCAACTGTGCCAGAGTCTGTATATAAACGGACAGTCCCCTTCCCATCATATCCGGACTCGAGCAGTCGAACGGAGCTGACGTGCCAAGCAGTGAGAGGAGCGACACCGCCGAAGCGTAGAGACGACCAAGTCCGAGCTGAACTTTTTAGTTCATATCGTGAATGTAAGCACGATAGCGGTGACTTGGCGTTAAAGCGCCTAGGCCTGAAAAAGAGAGGCAAAACCTTGCGTTGCGACTAGGTTAGCCGGGGAGATTTGTTTTTTAAATCAAATCTTCACGGAGGCCAAAATTGCGGCGTAAGGTAGTGAAGAAGCAAACGGGCTTCGCCCGTCGGGATATTCTCTGTGCCTCCGTTGGGATGACACTGTGAGATATAGTTGTTTTGAACTCTATATCTGGCAGACACGGCCCCAGGGTCAGAGAATTGAGAAATTCAAGTGGATACCGCTTTAGTTCTGTCCTAAAGTGTGAACAACCGCGGACAGGTCACTGGGTGGCACCCAGAATCCGTGCTGGCAGCGGGCCAGACGGACAACAAAAAAGCCTTCTTCCAAATTTTTTGATTAGGCCCCGCCCCCAACATGGACCGTTCTAGGTCCCCGCCGATTCGTAAGGCGAACCCATCTGCCCCTAATGGTTGTCGTGAGAGGAAACTCCACGGCAACATCTATGACGCGTTATCCCTTGATGCCACCGACGATTCGACCACGAATTATGAGATATTCAAAGATCTCCCAGTAGACGACGACTGGAAAGAAAACGCCGTAAACGAAGAAGATTTCAAGCGCCCCAAGAACAAGAAGAGGCGTACGAAAGCCTGTGCGGAGGGAAGCCGCATAGAAGACACTACGGACGAAGAAACGCAAAAACAGGCGACAAAAGCTGGTAAAAGAACCAGACCTCTAAAAAGCAGCGAGGACGAAAAGTCTGAACTGCAAAAAGCGAAGATGCTCCTTCAAGAAAAGGAGAAGGAAATCTTAGCCCTCAAAAAGAAAATCGAGGAACTACAAGACATTATAATAAACTCCAAAAAGTCCATAATTGAACATATGGATAAGAAATTCGAACAACTTGAGGGCAAGAAATCAGAGGTGACCCTGGAAAAACAGGCACCTAAAAGAAAAGAAGACAACCTGGAAAACCAGGTCCCAATTCCAAAAAAGAAAGCTACGGGAACAATCCCCAAAGCCAAACAAACAGAAGAAAAGCCCAAAGAGGCACCCAAGCCCAAGAAAGTGAGAGAAGACTTCCCAGCACTCACCCCCACTAAACCACAAGATGAAGCTCAAACAGTACAAGATGGAGATGCGCAGGCTGAACTACAACCTCAAGAAACAGTCATGGAAACCGAAGAGGTACCAAGGAAAACCTTCGTACAGAAACCGCCTGTAATCAAATTACAGAGCGTGAATTACACGGGGGCCATATTAAACCTTGCACAAAAAGAGCAGGTTTATACAATCAAT